AAGAAGGGGAAGGGAGGAGGAGGAAGAGGAGAAGGAGGGAGGAGGAGAAGAAGAAAAAAAGAAGAGGAGGAGGAGGAGGAGAAAAAGGAGGAGGAGGGAGGAGGAAGAAGAGAAGGAGAAGAAGAAGGGAGGAGGAGAAGAAGAAAAAAAAGAAGAGGAGGAGGAGGAGGAAATAGTAGTAGTTGTTTCACTTCTCATCCAAGAATTCTTGGATGAGATGCAAAATATCTTCTTCTTCCTCAAGGGAAAAAAACCCAGTCCAGATGCCTTCCTGGAAAAGTACCTTTGTGACAACTCTTAAAGGAGACAAAAACAGCTTCCAGAGAAGATCAACCTAGCTGGTTGGTTGGGAGATCAGTCGAATTTCTTACAGCCCTCACAGCCAAACAGTTGAAGGTGTGACGCAAAACAGTCAAGCCATCTTTGCTCAGATAACACGCAAACGTTTTGGCTGAAAGATCCGGCGCAGAAGGGAACACTTACTGTAACACAGCTTGCGCCACAAACATGTCCACTTCACTGCGATATCCCTTGGCCGAGGAATATTCTACCAACATATTTGCGCAGCCTTCCCCGTCCGTGGAGTGCAGGAAGTGATAGCGAGATTCACAATAGTTCTGCTCTAGAAGAAAAGTTACATGAAAGAAAGGGTCAGCCTGGGAGGGCTGCTTCTTCAGCAGAACCGTCAAAGTGGGTCTAGGTGGGTTCCGGCCTCGCATTTAGCCCAACGGGCTTCCCGTGCTGCGCGAGGGCAGCCATTGGGGGTTGTAAATTACGGCTTCTTGGCTGATGTGGGATTCCAACCACTTCTGGGTTATGGAACAAGCCAAAAAGTCAACTGACAAGTGAGGTCGCTATTTTTATGGTTTATTTTACTTTGGGAAAAATACAGCAAGAAGTCCGAATCGGGTAAAAATACGTCAGTGTGCCACAAGAAATTGTAGTGTTATATTTTAATTTGGGGGTTCTTGTAAGTATAAAGGATGCTTCTTTTGACTTAGGGATAGCAAAACGGCTGAAGGTCTGTCCCCATCTTCCTCTATACCAGGGGTCTCCAACCTTGACGACTTTAAGCCCAGTGGACTTCAACTCCCAGAATTTCTGGGAGTTGAAGTCCGCCAGTTGGAGACCCCTGCTCTAAACTAGTATTTCTCAGCAATGTTAAGATGCATGGACCTCCAACTCCCCAAATTCCCCAGCCAGCATGACCTCAGAAGGAATTCTTAAGATGTATGGACCTCAACTCCTCAAAACTGATCTCAGAAGCAGCCTCATGGGGGGCAGGGCAGATGTTCCCTCACCCAAGATCCACTGCTGTGTGCAACTCTTAAGGGTACAAACCAGGCACACTGGAGGAGTGAGCAGCTCAACGCGGGATTCCCACCTTTCCATAATGTGATAGCCAACAACTGGTGTAGTTTTGGATGTCCCAGCTTCCCTGATCCACCGCTGGACCATTTCAGGGCTCTGGACACAAACGCGACTCTTTCGGGCGAGTTTTGATCCATCAGGCTGAACATTTTTGCCAGGTTCTCTAGAGGCAAGTCGAAGAGGCAATGCTTAAGACAACGTGAAGGAGACTACAGACTTTTTTTAAAAATAGACAATGCGGGCCAGCCACGGTAAAATGGAATTGCAAAGTAAGACATCACAAGTCTCCAGGGTGGAAAACACTCACCTAATAGCTCATCTGTCACTTTCGCATCTGATTTCTCTAAGGACTCCAGAACGAGCATGGAGAGATCAGCTGCGCTGTTTTGCTAACAAAACAAAACAAAACAGAAAACAAAAATTAAGTGGAAGCGTTGAAATGAATTCCTAGGTATCAGGGGAAAAATAAAAGGCTGGTGAGGCTGGCAGGAAATATTTTTCCTGGTTTGTCAATTGAATATTGCTTCTGTTAAGAGTGAAGGGCCGCAAGACACTTAAAAAGATGGCAGAACTGGGATTTTGGAAGCTTGCAGAAGGTAATATGGTAAAAGGGGTGTGTGGGGGGGGGAAGCAGATGAGCACCAGAGAAACCAGGCTCACAGAAGGGGATTTTTTGGGGGGGGGGGGGGAGAGATTAGAAGCCAGATGGAGAAAGGGAATGTGTGAACCACCCACTTAAAAGACGTTCGTGGCTGAAGAAACCGCTCCCAGAAGGTCAGACACTTCCTCCCAAAGTTTATTTCCGAGGCATCTGGGCCCCAGAAAGTATCCCAGGGCCTCCCCAAAGGTGAAGATACTCGCTACACACTTTAGTTCACAGGTACATAGGTATGTACCTATGTATGAGCAGTTATGCCAAGCCTATTTTGGGGCTCAGTGCATTATGAGGCATCCTTGGTGCTCCCTGAACCTGGTTTGTTTTCTGGCAGACGTTTCATGACCCAAACTAGGTTACATCATCAGTGCTAGGAGGAGAAGGGTGATGACTGTGGAGTCCTTGATGCTCCCTGAACCTGGTTTGTTTTCTGGCGGATGTTTCATGACCCAAACTAGGTTGCAGTAATGAAGTTTCCTAGTTTGCGTCATGAAATGTCTGTAAGAAAACAAACAAGCTCAGAGAGCACCAAGGAGCCCACAACCCTCCTCCTGCATTCCCCAAACCCCACTCCCTTCTAGCACTGATGATATTACCTAGCTGGGTCATGAAACGTTTGCAAAAAAGAAAGAAACAAACAAACAACCAAGTTCAGAGAGCATCATGGATCCCACAGTCCTCCTCCTCCTCCTCTCCCTTGTAGCACTGATGATGTTAGCTAGTTGGGTAATGAAACATCTGCAAGAAAACTACCAAGCTCAGAGAGCACCAAGGACCCCTCGTGTCAACCCTGACCTTCAAATATTCTCCTTCGTTGGTCAGTGCATTATCTTAAAATAATTTTGGAGTGGGCCAGTAAGGCAGCCCATTTTCAAACTTCAAAGGGCTCTTGGGAGAGATGGTACACACCCTGGAAATGTGTTATCTCGCCCTCCTGGCTGCCAACTGGAGATGGGCATCTCCTTTCCCAACCCGACTTCTCCCTGCTGAATGTTTCTAGAACCATCTTGACACCATGTTAAATTGGTCTTACTTGATTATGACTGAAGAAGAGCAGAGCCCCTGAGTACATGAGCTCTCTGGCTTCCGTGTGTTTGCCCTGCGACATGTACCTGTAAGTGAAAAAAGATTTTTTTTAAAAAAATTCCAGCAACAGGAAGAAGGAAAGGCAACCAGAATGCACCACGAAGGGACAAGCTCTGAGAGGCTTGGGGACTTCATACGGAGCCCATTTCAGAACTGCAGGAGGCAGAACAAGGAATCACAGCTTGCAGAAGAGAGTTGGGTAAATCTGTCGGATCAGAATAAATAGCCTGCCTCTCTCAGCAACCCAGGTTGCTCATTTACCTCTTAGCGGAAGGTAATACGTGGATTTGAGCCCTGGCTTTTTTGTTTTTTTAAAAAAAAGACCCTTCTGAAGAGACAAGGTGCTATTGCCATGGCTCTTCTTCACAGACTCAGAGGAAAGATGTCATGCCCCTGTTGGAATCTGATTCGGAGGGCGAGGCCAAGCAGCTAAGAGGGAGTGGGGATGTGGCTCCGTTGGCTGTGGAAGAATCTGGGGTCAAGTCCTGCTGGGCAGAGCAGGGGAGAGGTAGAGCAAGGCAGAGGGAATTTGGAGGAAGACCCAGGCCCACCCACTCTTCATCCTAGGGCACGCAGGGAGGTATGTAGAAGGGAACAATGTGGGTTGTGTGGCTTACGGGGGAGGAAAGGGCCCTGATTCCCTTCATTAGCTGCAGCTACATGGTTTAAAAAGGGAGGCTGCACACAGCAACTCGTGGGGGAAGCAAATCTGAGTTATCTTTCGTGGCTGAGGCTTATCTGGGTTCCTGGCGTCTTCCCAACTGTGTTTTGTTGGCCTCTGAAGTCTGCAATTCCTTATCCTGCTCTGTCCAGTTAATTGCTGCAATGGGGTTTGTGTGTATTTTTAGTTACAGTTTATATGTACTTTGTTTTCAGACTGAATTTCCTTCATTTAAAGACTGTTTTGGGGAGAGTTTTTTCTCCAGCCAAAGGTAACTGGGCATTGGGGAAAAGTTGGAGGTATTAAAGGGACTTTTCTTACTTATGTTGTGCCACGCCCTGGGTCATCAAAAAAGATGTGATTCCTGTCCATCAACCAGGAGATTAAAGAGCTAACTCTCAAGGCACTAGAGTTTCTCAACCTGCCCCATTTAAAGATAGGTGGATGACAACGCCCAGAATGCTGAGAGTTGATGTCCACACCTCTTAAAAAGTGGTTGAGAAACACTGCACTGGGATGTCCATATTCATCACAACAAAGTGAACCGCAATATTTACAAACCTCCTTCCGAACAGAAAATTGGCTGTTTGGTAGAATCTCTAACTGCTACTGAAAATAACTGATTTCTTTAGGTAACTTTTCTCCCTGCAAGGTTGAAGGCTGCAGCGGTCAAGATCAGCCTGGGAGCGGAGGAAAGGAACTTCCTTTTTTTTTTTGAAGGCCAGTGAAGAATTGGGACCCTCAATTCGGGACCAGGGTTTGTCGAACTGCCTGTTTCCTGTCCCTGGAAAATTCAAATTCTCCAAGTAGCTCGGCAAGGCTACAATAATGTACTTCAACAATGACACCTATAGGCAGTCCTCGGCTTACAACCACAAACTGATCCCCACATTTATGTGGTTAAGTGAGACCTTTGCTAAGTGAGCTTTGCGCCCCGTTTTACCAGTTTTCTTGCCGCAGTCGTCAAGGGAAGCACCGCAGCTGAAAAGCTCGTAACCTGGTCGCTCAGTGAATCCGGCTTCCCCAATTGACTCTGCTGGTCAGAAATTCAGAAAAGGGGAATCACGTGACCCAGCAACGGTTGTAAGTATGAACCTGTGGCCAAACACCTGGATTTTGATCCATGGGCAGGCTGCAAAGGTCGTAACTATGAAAAACGGTCCCGAGTCACATTTTTCAGCGCCGTTGTAACTTCGAACAGCACTAAGCGAACTGCTGTAAATAGAGGACTACCTAGATCGCGATGGGGCTGCCTCTGTACTGTTGCTTGCCCCTCTCAAACACCAGGGCAAGGTGACGCACGGGGGCCATTTACAGATGCCGAAAGTTGACACCACAGCAAGCCAAATCATCTGACAACTCCGATGGGTTTTCATACCCTCGGCCGGGCGTAAAACTGGCAAAAGGCAGCAGAGAAGTGGACGCCTTCGCTTCAGAATGCATTCTCTTTCTTGGTCTCTTGGCACGTGGCTCCAAGGAAGCTCTGGCTGGATGGAACATATGCCCACATAACTGTGCGACTGTTACGGAGGGAAGGGCAGGAGGAGACACACCAAATGGTCAAAAACAGGAGGACCGGAGAGATTTGCAGGCCGAATAGGTTTGCGGAACTGCTGCTTGGACACACCCTGAGACAAATTTAAGAGCCTGTTTCGCCACAGGATCAGTCACGTTTGTTCTGCGCACTGCACATGCGCTTCCCATCCCTGCAACGATGTACTTATTTACACGAGGGATTATAATCCGTGCAATTTTTAGCTCCAGGGATTCTAGAGTAGCAAAAGCTTTTACAGACCAGTGATGGGGGACTACGGTATTTCTCTTTTGACTTAAGCCTTTAACTCTCTACTTCCAGGCCTCTAGAATGAGGGAGAAACGTAGAAAAGTAGTAGTTCCAAGGAATGAGAGGATTTAGAATCCCACCTGCAAAATTTAGCAGGAAGAGAACCACAACTCTTTAAAAAAAAAAGCAGAGAGAGAAAAAAAATCTAATTATGTCCATTGTACTACTAACCAGAAGAATTTCTGATGGAGCCAGTTTTAATCCTTACAGCTAATCACCCTGCTGATCAAAACCATGTTTTTTTTTTTTAATTTCTCCTTCTGTTTCCCACAACATATCTTTCTGAAATATACATATATTTAAGCTTCCCAACAGATTCCTTTTGCTCATTCTCAGCCCAATAATCAGAGAGCTAAGCGTTTAACAGGCAACAGTGCCACAAAAACTAAGCAGGAAGGATTATGGAAAGATTATGAGATTATTGTCACTATTTCAGTCATCCCTGTTTTTATTTCCAAAATAAAGACGGCCGTGATTTTCAAGGGGGGGGAGAGTCCACTTTTGCTACTTAATTCCAATCTTCCCATATTTCTTTACGCACCAATGCCTCAACTTTAGGGCCACGCGCAGAATAAAATTGTTTGAACAATATCCCGTGAAACCAATCTCAGCCAGGCAGGAAATGGCATTTTGCCCGTTGCAATCAGTTCCAAGGTGCAGAATTACTCGAAATCAGCACACAAAATGCGTTTGTCATGTTCCATTTAAAGGTCACTCAATTCCCCTATTTTGGCGCAGAATGCGTGCAGTGCATACCATTACAACTCAGATCACAGGTTAATAATAATCTTGACGCTTAAGCGTTTAAACAGTGAATAATAATTCACGGCTGCTCGGGGATATTGAGACAGCTGAGGACACCAAGGCGATTTTTGGGTTTTTTTTGGTCTCAAGTCAGAAGCTCATGTCTTTTCAGAGCTCTGTTTTAGGAAAGAAAAAGGGAAAAAAAACAACAACCCAAAGAATAGCTGTCTCCAAACTAGGCTGGGAATATATTCCCCAGAACTTCCAATTAACAAAGACGGTGACCAACACTACCAAGAAAATACAAAATTAGGGAAAGGAGGCTAAAAAGTAACGTTGAACTTTACAGGCAAGTCCTCGACTTACGATCACAATGGAGCCCCAAATTTCTGGTGCTAAGTAAGGGAATTTTGCCCCATTTTGTGACCTTATTTGTCATGGTTGTTAAGTGAATCACTGCCCTTCTTACATTAGTAACATGGTTGTTAAGTGAACCTGACTTCCCCATGGAGTTTGCTTGTCAGAAGGTCGCAAAAGAGGATTATGCGATCGTCATAAATATGAACCAGTGGCCAAGCACCTGAACTTTGATCATGTAACCGTGGGAGGGCTGCAGGGGGTTGTTAAGTGTGAAAAATGGTCATAAGTCACTTTTTTCAGTGCCGCTGCAACTTTGAACAGCCACCGAATGAACGTAAGTTGAGGACTACCTTTAGGACTTTAGATTCTTGGATCTTGCTTAGAAGAACAAACACAAATGCTACAGCTATTGTTGTCCTTTAACACATCACAGATGATACCACACAAGAAAAGCCAGTGTTGTCCAAACTCAAATGCCTTTTTTATCAGACTGGCTACAATGAGGCCTACTAATTATTTGACTGCCAGCACCAATTCAAAATAATTTCAGAAGTTCAACAAAAGAGAAGCTGGTATCACTCAACAAGAGGACCCTGAGAAGCCAACTTTCCAACCCATATCAATATTCAAGAGGGATTTTGGAATCTTTTTTTTCTTAGACCATAAAAAAAATCCTGTCTTTTCAGTCAGACCACCAGGTAGATAACCATACCCCGTTGGACTCTGGTTAAAAAAAAAAAAAAGAGAAAACTTCTGGTTTGGAAAAATTACTTCCAGAAACCACCGATCCAAACGGTATGATTTGGAGTTCAAATATTTTGGAAGTTTTGACCTATCCCTACTATATTTTCACTGAATTTACTGTCAAACTTTTGCCCTGTTGCTGATTCCTAACAAGTTTTCTTCTATTTGGTGTGACAGGTACAATGACTTTTGGATCCTTAATCCATTTTTCAGCTTGCCACCAACCCATCCATTTAGAATTTCAAAAATGTCCCTTTTTCTACAACTCCTTTCACTCCATAATGAATGCAAAATGTGTATAATTATCCATGGTTTTAATCTTATGCGAATGACAAACAATAAAGACCATGCAGACAGAAGTTTCAACTCTCTTCCAGGTTCATCAAAAGTCCAACTATAAGCATTTTTATGACTACTTAGGCTAACCTGTATAATGGACGGTTGTGAAGACTTTTAACAGCACAAAGGGTGTTATAATTAGGTGCCTTGTTGTTATTTGCTATTGTTGCATATAATAGGTTGACCGACCGCTGTCCCAAAAGGAGGACGCTAAATCTGTCATAACACAATCCAAGAATTCGGAACACCATGATCCCAATTCGGCTTATTCAGAATTAAATAAGGCTGCTTTCAAAGGGACTTACCTCCAAAGAAAGACTAACAGATTTATTGTGGCAGGAATTTTGACAAGCTGGAGTCCACTTTGTCAGATGCCTCTGATGAAGTGAGATCCAACCTACAAAAGCCTACAGAACAACAGATTTCTTAGCCTTTTAAATCACTTGTGTCTTTCCCTTTTCAAGTATCATTAAGACAGCCGTCCTCAACTTAGTGCTCTCCAAATGTCTTGCACAAATGTAGGAATATTCAGCCAATACCACAGGCTGGAAATCTGGAATCTTGTAATCTCAGCATAACAGAAGAACACCCGTTTGGAGCATTATGCATTATGCTGTAATTGCCACTGGGCTGAAAACAGATATAAAATCAGCAAAATAAATCTTGCTTGATCACATCAATTTTTTGTTTTGGCTGAAGTGAACAGCAGATAAATAGGATTTTCTTTTGATTTCCCAAAAATCTATTCCTTGGGGGGGGGGGGGGGGGGCATCTTTCTGAAAAAAAGAAGTCAATCTTTTTCAAAACCGTTTAAGAGTGGCACCAGCTACTATATGTTATTTTTTGGCATATTCATCACCTCTAGGATGAAACAATGTTACTACCTGTATTTTGATAGATTCTTTATCTAATACTATCCACAACCATTTGGTGACTTAAAAGGTAGCATTGCAGCATGGAAATTTCTAGAACAGCAGGCAAGCCAATCTCTTACTGTAAAGATGCTCAAGCTTTGCACAGATGTTGCGCTTTTCTGTTCTTTTTCAAAGCCTCTTCACCTCACTTTTCATTCTCCTCAGCTTTTAGGCATTATATACATATATATTTATAAACCGAGGGCCATCACTCAGCAAAGCAGGTTCTAGCGCACACAAGAATTTTCTGATGTTATACATTTTTAAGATGCTATAAAATCCACTTGTGTGTTTGTTTGTAGATCCACCCACTAGATTGGAATGTGTGCCATCTGAGCTCTGCACATAAAAGTCGCAAACAAGCCTCTTTTGGTCCTACCGTCAAAAATGAATGAAAATATATATATATATTGCAGCTAATCATAGCAAGGAGTGGAGAGTGGGCTATTTTCAGGTTTATTGCTCTTTAATATGGACTGTTTAAATCATCTAGTTGAACAGTTCTTTTACAAGCCTATTTCTGTACATTCCAGATTAGCTTAACCTCCTTTTCAATCCTATTTTTGCTATGGATATGCAACTGCTACTCAAAAGATTTTTGGGTGCACGCCTCGAGCGTCAACTGCCCCAGCGGTAATGGTCAACAGAAGAATCTCTGAAATTGTAACCTTAAAATGAGAGCAGGCTAGCTTGCCCAGAGTCGCGATGGATGGTGACACGGGTGAGATATGAATAAATAAAATAAAACTAATGAGCAGGAGAACGAATGCTTCAACCACAGCTGTGTTACAGGTCTAAGAAGACAGCACAACCGGTCAGGCTTACCCAAGGCAAGAAACCACCCAAGGGGAACAAACTGGATTCCTCCTTGGGTTCAAACCTGCCTCCATCCCCACCCCAAGCAACCAGCCTAGCGTCTGTCAACCCAACCTTAAACTCACCCATTTGTTCCTCCATATATACACATGCATCAGTCCTACATCAACATGGATTCTCTATAGTTAGTGCAGTGTTGGTGCGGCGTCGGGGGTTTTCAGCTCAATGTGTGGAGGGTGAAGCATGTGTGTTTGTGTTTATTTCCATGGTCATGATGTGCATAGGGGGTGTGTATAAGTGCACCAAAGTGCCTGCTGTCCCTGTCCTATTGTTTCTTTTATTTGTCTTCTTTGTACTCATTTCTGGTATTCATAACTATGTTTATCCTTATATCTATTATCTTGTAAGCGATTGACAAGTCAAATCAAATCAATAAATAAGTGAATGGTGTTTGGTTTCGTTGTACGAGGTGCAATGACAATAAACTAAACTAGGAGATCTAGAACAGACCATCTCATCTTTTGTCAGCCAAACCTTGCACAAACTGGAGGCTTTCAAGAAGAGATTGGACTGCCATTTGTCAGAAATGGTGTAGGGTCTCCTGCTTGGGCAGGTGTGTGTGTGTTGGACTAGATGACCTACAAGATCCCTTCCAACTCTGTGAATCTAATCTAATCTAATTCCTGGCAAGCCTCTGCATTCCAAAAACCACCTCACCTTCCCCTTTGTAAAAAAAGGAAACTCCCCTCGGGCTTGGACTACTAGGGAGCCTGTCAGTTTGTAGAATAAGCGTCCATGTTTGGGTCCAGATGTCCCTTTAGGGGCCCTGGAGCTGCTTTGAGGATGGGTGGACTTCAACTCCCAGAATCCCCCTTGGGAGTGGAAGCCCACCCCTGGCGTTGTGCCATTTCACCCCCCACCCCCCATTCCTATGGAAGGGGTCCCTATTACCCCTCCCTACCCGATACGAAGCGCGGCCATGGGAGGGGAGAATGGGCTTAGGAGTACTTCCTCTCCCTCTCTTCTCCCTACCCTCCCAACAGCACCTCCCCCCCCCCGCCTTTGCCAGTCCGGCGTGCCCGCTCCCCCGCCTCCTCCTCGACCAATAGGGCTTCGAGGGCCAGAGAAGGACAAGCGGCGCAGCCAATAGCGTGCGGCCGGCGCTCGGGTGCGCCAATGGAAGCGTCTGGAAGGAAGATGAGGTGGGCTGCTCTCCCCTTTACGTACCTGAAGAACAGAGTCCGGTACATCTGGTGAGCCTCGTAGTAGTCTCCCTTCTCCACGCTGGCGCGGAGTTTCCCCTCAACGCGCTGGACGCCTCCCCGGTTGCGGCCGCTGTTGCCACTGTTGCCGCCGCCGCCGCCCTTCAAGGCCTCCTGCTCCGCCGCCATGACTGCGGGGCGGGGAGAAAAAAAACGCCGAGGCGACCCTGGCCGGAGCTACCTCACGCGACGTCACGCACGCACGCACGTCGGCTTCCGGCGCCGCCCACTTAACAATGGGGCGACGGCGGCCGGCGAGGGACCGAGGCGTGTGGCGCGCCGCTCTCGCGGGAGGGAGGGGAAAAGGAGTGACGTCACGTGACCTCCATCTGCGGGCGAGCCGCGCGGAGGCGGTCCCCGCTGGCGTCTCCTAGGCGACGCCGCCAAGGATGCAGCAGCTTCTGGACCAGAGCATCCTTCAGGCTGTGTGTGTGTGGGTGTTGGGGGCGGTTCTTGCAAGGCCGACCCAGGTGAATGGGGCCCGTTTTCTTTCAGCAAGCCTGTTGGGTTTTGAGGGATGCTTGGGGAAGGCCAACTTCTTCTGGAACAAGGGTTGAAGGTGGGAAAAGAGGACAAGCCCTCCGTCTTTCCAGGGCCCACAGATGTGGTCCTCTAAAGCCCATCTAGGATTTGGGAAAGAGAGCACTGCGAGGGCAAGCCGCCAACGTGGGGTTTCAGCCCCAACCAGTCCGGGTGTTGCCTAGTCAAGCCACTTTAACCACGCCGAATCATGGAGAAGAGACCTACTTACGGCAATTGTTGAAAGCAAACCAAGGGATGTTTCATACTCTTGCGTGAGGACGGAAGCAGGCAGGCAGCCAAGGTCTCTGGATGCCCCAGTAAACTGGTTCCAGTTCTATTAGTTAGGGACGATTTTCTGAAGGTGACTTATGACTTCTAAAGGTTTCTGTTTCTCAGAGAAAGAGGGCTGAGGCAGCCAGCTTGATTTGCAAGTCTGATTTGCACCCACATGCATACTGTGTCAAGGATCTCTTTCATTTCTACCTTGTTTTTAAGGAAAAACAATCTTTCCTTGGGCAGTAGTTCTGACTTGTCATTCTAAAAGCAGGAAAGGCAATACTGAAATATCAGCTTTGGGTGTCCTCTACTGTTCTCTTTCTTGACGATACTAACCACATGGAAATCAGAAATAATGGATGTACTGTTACACTTGAATATTTCGACACAGTTCCCTTACATGCATTCTTTTCATGGAGATTTCTGTATAACAGAAAAAGAATAAGGGTTCTATTTTTGGTTTTGGCCACTCCCTATATTTGCTAATCCTTTTAAGGAGTCTGATCCCTCTCCAACCACATATATTACGAGAAGCATTCAGTATAAATATCCAAAAGGAAACTTTATTCTTATTTCCAAATATTACATGCACTTTCAAAAATTAAAATTCTTAAACTTTTTTTCGATAGCTTCTGGTCAGTTAGGAGGCAGCAAAGGATACCAGAGACAAATATTTTGAAAAAGCATTTACAAAAATACATTGCACAAAGTCCTATCTCATTTTTTTAAAAATAAGTTAGTGTTATGCAAAACAAACAAACAAACCCTGCCCTCCCCTATCTGGATTTATACAGGATAATTTGGAATCATTTTCTTAAAACTCTTAACAGGTTTTACTAAGCTTTTCTCAATAGCCACTGGTTCTACTGTAAGCTAAACTCAGCCGAACAAGTGGTATTCAAGAATAAAACTTGCTTTTATAAATATTTGAGGACTCTTGTGCAACATATGGAAAAATTAAAAAAAAATCAGCATGTCTTTTTTTCTGAAATCAAAGTTTACTTTCCAAAAATCCAGGACTCAAAGTACCATTTTCATAGGGGGGGGGGGAAGGGGGGGAAAGCTTTTTCTGAGCCAGATCCTGACATTTCAAAATTAAATTTAAAAAAAGGAAGCTGAATAGCCAGGGATTCTGTTCAGTGACTTTAAGGGAAATTCCCCATAGAATCTAACAATAGCTCCAGGTGCCATCCTGAACTTGATGGCCCATTTTTTATTATGTGCATATGCATGCTTTAAAAAAAAAAAGTGAATATACAGATCCTTTTTTCTGTTTTTGGAGAACCGATTCAAAACGGCGCCTTTTGTGCTATTCCATATATTCAGCCTTGTGAAGTTTCCCCTGAATTTTCAGAGATTAGCAGCAATCCCAAAGGACAGAGAGAACTCTGAGAAGGGTAAACTGCACAAAACCCAAATGTGAATAAGCTCCAGGCCTGAATTTTACTGGCAAACTACTTTCTTTGACGTTTAGTGTTCCTGCTTTAACCTACACCTGACTTCATCTCTACATTTTCTTTTCATTATCTCCCATCACACGGTAGCCAACTGCTATTATAGATCTAATTCAACTCTATCCAAACCGTTCTCAATGTAACAACGTCCTTAATCCACCTGCCTCGCTCAGTGCTAACACATGGGGATATTTTGCCTTCAGCACTTACCAATTCACTCTATCCCTATTTCTTACTAGAACCCATCAAATTAGATTCAAGCCCTTTCTATGTTAAACAATCACTACTGATATTCATTTGGATATTAAAACAAAGGATATTTTTTGTTTACTAATATATATTTAAGGGAAAAAACCTGGAAGATGAACATAAAAGCAAACAGGTTGAAATCAGAATCTTCAACATAAGAATTAAATGTTGCATGGAAATGACTGGAACTGATGAAGTAGCTTGAAGGATGAGCTGCTAAGCAGTTTCGCCAAGCAAAACTGTGCAGTGGTAACAGATCTTAGTTTCAAGGCTTGTGCTGGAATTGCAAACAAACCTTCATCTGATTGGGAACTGCATAAACAATAGAACATGCTAAGTTTCATCAACTGTCCTTATCTTAATCATATCCAGGTGCAAAGGAGAGTCCCAATATTAAAAAAAACTGATTCCTAATGGTCAAAAGGAAAAATTTAAAAGCTTTATCTTCTGACTTATTAAAAGAGGGGTTAGTGATTTGCTAATTGGGCTTAGGAATGAGAACTGTTGGCATGCAGGTTTTTCCCCCTCCTTCAAAAAGAACACATCAAAAATATAAAGCTGTCTGGCAGTTACAAGCTGAGCATCTTGAGCAAATAACCATTAGGTTTGGGATACAATTTTGTTGGCAGTCTTCTACGTTTAGCCAGGAAAGAGTAACACAACCTGTTGGACATCACACACCTTCATCTTTGAAAGATTCCAGTGTTCAAAATTTCCCTTTATAAACTTAAAAACAGAAATGGTGGATATAACCAGAGTAGGAAAATAAGCGTAGCATTCATTCAGCAGTTCGCCCATGCACTCTGAAGCGATAGAGGCACGTATATTCTGCATGGCCCCAGTTGGAAAATATTCTTAGTTCCACTATTTGGAATGCTTTTTCGGTTGTCTCCTAAAAGGAGAAAAACAAAACAAAACATTTATTAGAATCCACTAGAGGGAATCCTGTTTTATGACCACCATCGAGCCCAAAATTTATGTTGCTAAATGAAACAATTGTTAAGTGAGTTTTGCCCCATTTTACGACCGTTCTTGCCATAGTTAAGTGAATCATTGCAGTTGTTAAGTTGCTAAGAGACTCTTGGCTTGATTTGTCGGAAGGTCACAAAAGGGGAATCACGTGACCCTGGGACACCATCAAAAAATAGGAGCCAGTTGCCAAGGGCCCGAATTTTGATCATGTGACCAGGGGGAGGCTGCAGTGGTTGCAAGCATGAAAAACGTTGATGAGCCACTTTTTTTCAGTGCTGTTGTTAATATCAAATGGTCACTAAACGAACTGTTTTTAAGTCAAGGACAAACGTCTACTGTTTTCACGCTAGAGGTTTTTTATGCAAAGCATTAAAAAAAAAGGGAGTTTCGTATGAAATGTTGACCTACCGAGACTGGAAACATCTGTAATGGTTCACCATCCTGATCGTATGTATACTGGCCCAGAAGTATTCCCTCTTCTTGATACTCATTTTCAAGACCCTGTCAATACAGATACAGATAATCAAGAGTTGGAAGGGACCGTATAGGTCATCTAGTCCAACCCCCCACCCAAGCGGGAGACCCTACACCATTTCTGACAAATGGCAATCCAATTTGTTCTTGAAGGTCCCAAGTGATGGCGCTCCCACAACTTCTGAAGGCCACTTGTGTTCCATGGGTTGATTGTTCTCACTGTCAGATACAAATGGTTTGCGTAGCTCTGAATTCTTGATAAAGAAGATGAGCAGATTGATTTTAATTTTCAGACTCGCTGGCCTTCAAAAAAGATGATTATTATACTTTTATTGATTAAACGTCTATGCTGCCCATCTCACTTAAACCTTTCACACACTTTTGCACCCCTCGCCTCAGGTGAACAATCATTTCCACATCTGTAGAATTCAAACCAGCTACTTTATTGTTCTGTGCCTATTTCACAGGAATCTTCTCAGACTGGCAGCCTTCACAGGGGAAAGACTCGATAAGGCTCAAAGGTATTTGAGGTTTGTGTGTGTGTCAGACCTTGCCCTCTTACATTTATAGAGAGAGACAGTAATTCCTTGCCAGGGGCGTGATTCAACCGGTGTAACAACTGGTTCAGTGAGTGTGTCAAACGCATACTTCGTGTGCGTGCAGAGGGTTTGTTACTGACCACCTCCTGCAATCCTGCAATCTCCCTGTGTGTTAAACAGCTGATGCGCAGCAACTTGCTGTGCCGCGCGAAGCAGCCGAGCTTGAAAACCAGGAAATAAAGGTCAGAATAGAGCTGGTGCAAGTGGGTGGGCCCAACAGCTGATCGTTGGAGCCAACAGGTTAGTTCACAGACGATCCTTGGAGTTACTGGTTTGGTTGAACTAGGCCGAATCGGTAGAATCTCACCCGTTCCTTGCTTGAGCCCTCCTAACTGGGAGGACTGGATGGTTCTCCAACAGACTTAATTAAAATAAAAGACTTTAATTTCTAGCTCTCCTACTCTCTGTAACTGGTGCTTGTTTAACTTCTCTTTATACCTGTTTTCTTATTTAGATCAATCTGCCACATAAGCCTGAACTCTTCCAGCAATTAACTAAGGCATGACCTAACCTGGGAAAGATTCTTTTTTTTAAAAAAAAATATGTACAGCTATTAGAAATCCTTTTAATCATTACTAGAAACCCTGAAGCAGCATTAGTTGAACCTAAGACAATATTCCTTTCATTTTCACCACTTACGTATACTAAGAAATCCTTTGGGGCGCTGGTA